ATTTGATAATTTCCTCACTGCCTTTCTTTTTGAGGAAACCGGAATTTTCTTTATTCCGATGAGACTCTGGTTACCATGATAAGCATTCAATTGGGACAACAATAATTCCGAATGCCTCTAAAAGGAATCCGATGTTAAAAATATGTGAAGAACGTTGTCCTAGAGGGACTCGCAGCGAAATTCACCTAATATTCCCTGATTTTGAAGAGTTAGGCGAAATTCCCTAACTTTTCCGGGTTATCAATGACTTTTCAAGAAATTGTCATCCTGTTATGTCTTCTCTCAGAACTCTCGACGCAGATAGAAGTCTCATGTTTGAATGCGTCGCGTCGTTTCAAGCACAAACTAAAATATTTCCGAATTTTCTCCGATCTGTAGATAACGGCAACGTGCTGCCGTGCTAAGGAAAAGCGCCGTGAGAGCATTCGAATGTTGCCAAATTTCCTTCCAACAAATATGTACTCTCGAAAAAAGTTATGAATATATTTCCTTGGAATTTTCTGATTTATGAGATCAAAGTACGAACAAAATTCTCTGAAAAATTGGAAAAAAAGTATTTACAAATTTTCCTGAAAATGCGTGCTTTGTCAAAGGAAATTTGGCAACGTCTGAAAGCTCATTCGGCGTTCTTTCCATAGCTCGGCAGCGTGGCACCGCGTACTGGCCGCCGCGGTGGCTGCGCGGCGCGGGTGACGTACGTCACGTGGTTACGTCGTATCGGCGCACAATAGATCGGGTCAATAGGAGACGTCGGACAAAATTTGGAAACTTTAAACGCTTATAACTCCGTTTATACAAAACTTTAAGGTTCTAACAGTGGTTTCATTGGTTCCCTCGTGAAATTTGCTTCTAGAAACACCCCTTGAAATTTAAAATGTGATAAAATTAACGTCAAAATTTGCAATTTTAGTTAAAAATTTTATTTGCCACATCTCAGATTGACTGGATCCACTGTGCGGCGTCGTCTATTTTCGACCGACTAGCATACATTGCCCGCGGTCGGAGGGAACGGTGAAAAATGAAAAATAAGAAAAGAAGAAAAAAGAGCAACAATTATTAAAACCTACTCGAGAGCCCGGGCATCCCGGCGGAAGTTGTATCTGACCGGGGCGGGGGGCGGCGAGGGGGGTCCTCTGAAGCGCCCCTCCCCCGCGGAGACTTCACCTCCGCGCTCAGACTGTCCCAAGTTTTTTGTTTTCGCTACTAATCACAGCCGCCTTGCCGAATTTTGTTAAATAAGAGGACAAATTTGACTGAAATTAGAGTCCCTTTACACTGAGAGTCAAGAAGACAACACCCCCTCATGGAGTCACAAACGGGAATAAACATTACAGAAATTGAACGGTTTTTGCAATCTTTGATCGGCCCATTCTCAAATTCCTTTCTCCGTTCCTTCTCTCATTCCGTTTGTTCCTTGCCGAACCCGTAATTCCCTGGTCAATTCCAGATTAAAATCTTTGCAATCGGTGGAAATGTAATCTTCATTCCCGTTTGTGACACTGTGAAGACCTAAAATACGGGAACCAATCAGAAATGGATTCACATTGTCTTGACTTTCGGTCTAAAGGGACTCTAACTGAAATTGACCTAACCGTAATGCGCTTAGCTGTTCTCTATGTAGGCGTGTTATTAAGTTCCCCGGAGAAGATGAACACCGTTGAGATAAAAGAACTCGCTCACCAAAATTTCAACTCTCAATTTTGAAAAAAAATTATACTACTGGTAACAAAAATAAAGTATAGAAAAACGATTACCGTCTTCCGTGCTTTGGCATCAGAAGCACTTAAGGAAGGTATCACAGATTAGTCTATACTAAATATTAGGCTATTATTCTTAAGATTAGGCCCCTTAACGTAAAGTTTCCAAGTAGGAAATTAAAAGGAGGGAGGAAATTAGGCAACATGTAGTTTCGCTCGCTTCGGCTAAATCCGTCCAAATTCCGTTGAGTAATTGGACAGATATAACCGAAATCGGGATGACTGCATTTCAGGTTGCTTCATTTCCTCGTGTTTCATTTATTCGAAAGAAAACTACGAATCATTAGGCGTCTTGAATTTTTCTTTGAATTCTCCCTGACTCAGAGAGATCGTAAGAAAATTTTTTTAGATCAAAGTATTTCTTGGCATACTATTCAATAAATAAAAATTAGGACATTGGGCGAGTAACTAGGCTCATTTCAGTTAAATTCGTCCAACTATACATTTAATTCATCGAAAATGTTGTTGAGATGTGAGTGAATTTTTAGAGTCCATTATCTCTCTAAAATTTAAGCGGAAGCACGGTCGCTACGGAGAAGGGATGGAGATGACGAACTCTGGTATTCAGACATATTCAAAATTAATAAATATATCTGCTTCAAAAACTTCGGAACTGAAAGAAACAAAATTTACAAATTTAACACCCTTCTCCTTACAAATATTGATATTATTCGTCCCTTGATAAATCCTGTAATTCCTGGTTCTCCAAGTCTTAGATACAATGACCAAAAATTAGCGATCTCTATTGAGTTTTCTTTTCAAACAACCTTTTTATGCCAGATTCTAGCGGTGTATAATAATTCGCCAGTAAAGCTACGGCTTCAAAAGCAGCACGCGACGTGAGCTTGGTCGCGTGAAGTTAGTCGCGCGACCGAAAGTTACTATTGAAGTCGCACGACCGAGAGTTCCTATTAACAAGCTGCCTGTTACCACTGATTTGAAGATACCCGTCCCCAACGTTAACGACGACTGATATGATCAAATTAATTATTAATTATTGCAGTCGGTAGAGCAGCTTTCCTGCGCGACTGACCGAAATCGCGTCGCGCACCCTCTGTGGAAGCGTACCTCAGGCGAGGACTTCGCAGTCATCCGCGTTAAGGCTGAGAACTTAACTCCAAATAAGGTGCTGGAAGTTTTTCCGGAGAGTTTTCGGAAGACTCAATCGCGAAACTTGCCGCGACGACGCCCTCCAAATTCGTAAAGTTTTGATGGAATTGATTAAGTTCGTTGGATTTATTTTTGCACCCCTCCCCCCGTACTTCCCCTCAAAAATACGAAACTTCCCCGTGGCACAACACACGTCTCTGAAGTAACCGCCGGAAAGATTTCGATCAACTTCTCCCAGCTAATAAACCTTGAACATCTCAAAATTTATACTTCAAGCGTGAAACGTGCCTCTTTAAGCTTACATCAAAATACATCCGCTTCAAAACGATCATATCAATATTTTGATTTTCTCATAATGTAGAGGGCTAAAGAGGCTGTTCAGAGAACAAAGAGTTCAATTCATTCCTTCATTACATTTAATAATTTGAAGATTGGGTTCACTTTAGTGTACAGTCTTGTATGCTGTGTACATTTTACTTAGCAATCTCAAACATTGATAGTTGTCAGGATTCAACACAATGTTGATGCCTAACTTTTTTCCACGGTTTTTTTAACGTTATTCTTAAACGTTTTACCTGAAAGTCCCTGAAAGGTGCTTCTATTTGTACTTTGCAAACATGAACGATTGCTTCAAGTTTATTGCGTCCTCCATCCTACATTTTTCCCACAGGTTTTTTCACGTTCATTTTAATCATTTTACGTGAAAAATTTCTAGAGGGGGCTTTCTACTTCGCAAAAATGAAGGGTTGCTTCAAGTTTATCGGATCCTCTATCCAACATTTTTGCCCCGGTTTTTTTCACGTTAATTATAAACATTTTATGCAAAAAATCCCTCGAGGGGGTTTTCTACCTCGCAAAAATGAACGATTGCTTCAAGTTTATCGGGTCGTTAATCCTAAATTTTTCCCACACCTTTTTTTCCAACCCCCTCAATGGATTGTCCACGTAAAATGTTTAAAATTAACGAGAAAAATCCCTAGAGGGGGTTTTCTACTTAGCAAAGATGAACGATTGCTTCTAGTTTATCAGGTCTCTTATCCTAAATTTTTCTCACACCTTTTTTTCTAACCCCCTCAATGGATTTTTCACGTAAAATGTTTAAAATTAACGTGAAAAATCCCTAGAGGGGGTTAACTACTTTGCAAAAATGAAAGATAGCTTCGACTTTATCGAGCCTCCAACAGTCAATGATCCCAAACGGAAGGGAAGTTCGTCGCGATGGAAGAGATGTCGCCACTCGACCGATACCGCACAACCCCTTCCTCGACCCGACCGACTACTACGCAACAATATCGCGGGGTCCCGCGTCATCGCGGTTATTGTCCATGCCAAAAAATGTCCGATTCGCCGGGAAAGGCAGTGACCCCCCGGGGGGGGGGGGGTGGGTGGGGGCGCCTCGGGTTGGGGAGCGACGAGAAAAAGAATAAATAAGAACAGCTGCGTTTGTTCAACGAGACAATTAAGACGCTGAAATACGCACGAGATCTCCAACACAATGACCGTCTTTCAGCCGTCAAATTTTCCATCGATTCCCGTCCCGCCGTCGTGAGGACGAGCCTCTGGGGGTCACGGTGAACGTAAATAAACGTAAATGAGATCCTACGGAATTCCTGTGATGCAACGACTCCGACCGCCCGGTCCTCGTCGTCGTTACTTTGCGATCTGATAATTGTAACGTCGCACTTCTGACGTAAACGACTTTTTCAAATGAGCCCTGTTGTTCGAATACTCATGTATTTTTCATAGCTCACGTGGATTTGAAGTTCGGCGCTTACGCAAGAAGGGCGACGATAAGAGCTTCTATGGGATGAGGCTAATCGGTAATAACGCGTGAAGGAGTAATATCCATAATTTCTTCATCGTTACATTTTATTTTCTAACTATCCGCGACCGTCCACTCTCGAAAAAACATTCGATTTCATTTTACGCTCCCGACTGATTCTTCGACGCCGACTTAACGTGAACCGTCGAATTTCAGCATAAATCAATTCAGAATATCAATTTCAATAATCGGCCCGCAGGGGACATTGATGGAGGAATGAGTGATTATTTTCCAACTCAGACAAGTCGGTAGCTGGAGGACGTTGTTAAAAGGCGACCGTATAAGTTGAATGAGAAAAAATGGGAGCTTACCTATTGGTTTTCGATAGATTTGGATCGCTGGTTTTCCTTCGTTCTCGCAACTGCCTCTGAAAATTGAAACAATTACACACGATTAGGTCAGCTCTAACCGATTTAGTTTGTAAGTGCACAAGGCAAGCTACAGGAGGGAGTGCAGAGTGAACCTTCAAAATAAGTATGCGCAGTTATTTGATAAACAGGACTAGGCAATTTTATCGCTACCGTGGAGGTCCTTAGCAGTTTAGCAAAGTCAAACTAAAAAGGCTGGATGATAAACATTTTATATTCGAGCGAAAAATACATACTTTTTGGATTGTTCGTGACTATCTACGCACTATTTGACTGAATATGAGGTTTTAAGGGACTTGGATGACTTAAAGCACCTAATTTTTATTCAGATTTTTTTTCGACCAACTCCGCTCCTTACACCGAAAGCCCTAAAAAATAAGTGTCTCTTCAGTTATACTACCACCCTAGAGTCGTTATTTACCTCTTTTGTCACAGAAAGCATTTCATCCCCAATTATTCATATGAGCGTGTACTATATAATTTCCCAAACTGCAGTTTACTTTTTGTACATTCTTTGCCTCTGAATATGTACGATAAAGTATCGTAGAGGAGAAGGGTTTTTGGGTGGGAGAGGGGGAAAAAACGAAAAAGATGCTTACTTTTTGGTGAAATCGCTCCTTGTAACTCTCGGATCGATTGATGGACGTTGCTGAAGATTTTGATTTCGTAGCATGATGAGGCGTTCTGCAAAACATAAAGAAGAAAACCATTATGAAGACAGTACTTCGAGAAAAATATTTTACCGTAAAAAGTTGTCGAAAAGCGTGACATACAAAAATTAGGCATGATTAAATACATACGAATATGTTCCCTTCTTCTCAAATACTCAAAAACCTCCTCTTTTTCTTGTCGAAAGTTTTCTTCTCGTTGTGAGCAGCTCAAAATATTGAGTGACTCTCGCAGTCCTACAGGACGTCGCACAGTGGATTGAGTCAATGAGACAGGTCACACAAAATTTGGAAACTTTAAAAGTTTATGACTCCGCTCATGAAAAATGTTGGGATATTTTAAAGGCGAGTCCATTGGTTTCCTCGTTCAAGTTTCAGGTAGAGGCACCCCTTAAAGTGTATAATGTGACGAATTAAACATCAAAATTTGCAGTTAAAGTAAAAAATTCCGTTTTTGATTTACTCAATCCACTGTGCGACGCGGCGATAAAAATGACGAACTGCCCGGATTCGAGCCCGAGGCAGGCGCCGGGCCGAAAGCCGATTTACCAGGTTGTCGTTTCGGGGGTGGAATTTTCGAAAACGCGAACGGGAAAATCGGAGGGTTGAACGTTGAGAATCGCAACGCCGAGGTCGGTATGGGGTGTCGTCGGGGGTTGTGGAGGTGACGGTGGCGTGCTTTGCGATATATCGATTAATCTGCCCTTTAAATCCATGGAAAAGGATCGATTATCGAGGTGTTTGCGACGAACACCTTGATTATCGATTCTTTACTACAGCATCAAATGGAGAAATATCGATGATCGATCCTTCGCGCCTCGCCACTGGTGACGGGGATGGAGGCTCGAAGTTCAATTCCACGGGAAGAACTTGGAGTGTAGACGGCGCCGTCCGATAAAAGCAGTGACAACAGACCGCGCCCTCTCCTTCCCTCCCCCTCAACGCCTGACCACCACCTGAAACCACCCCTCCCCTGCCGGCGACCCGATGCGCTCCAGAGGAAAAACATCGAACGAAAATTCCACCGTTGACAAATTTCTTATGGTGAACACGAATTTCCAATAAAACGAGTGTGAAGTTTTCTTCTTACAAATTAAAGTATTTTACTCCCAATTTCTTTTTTTTTTTTTCTTTTTTTTTTTTTAAATTTTCATATAAGGTCAAAGAAAACCAGTCATAACTTTTATCGAAGTTCATTATTGTGTAGAAAGAAATTCGGAGACTTTAAATGCTAAAACGACGTTCTTTCTCAGCACGGCAAAACTGGTATCAGAGATGTCAACTCATAAGCGATTGATTGCTCATTTTAAGAATATTTTAACGATTCACGAATTAGGTATAGAGTTGGTTAGAAGCGTCATTTTAGCCAAATTTCAAAGGGGGCAAAAATAATTTGCTGGAGAAAGTATCAGCTTACGAGGAACTTCAAAAAACCCCTTAGAATTGATCAAAATTCACCAAGATTGACTGCAGTTAACGTAAACTTTCAACTTTTGAATTCGGAGGGGAAAATTGGCCCTTTCCAAAACACGCTCCTAAAATATATGCATATACGATGTCATCACTCTAAGCTCTTTGACGTTTTAACTTTCAAATAAAAAGAACACAGTGACGTAGAAAGATAGAAAAAATGTTTTTTTTTCGTAGATTCGCAGTAACAGGGATGATTCTGAGGAATGAAATCGACTACACCTATCCTGGCGAGGGCTGTAGCGAATTTTGACATCGTTACCTCTTTCATTGAGTGGAATGCTGCGATATATTGTGTAGTGCTCATAAAACTTCCGCAAACCACCAACTGGTAGCCATGTAGGAGTAAGCGGCAATTTCCAACATAAATACGCATTTACGTGACAGCGATCGGAAGTCGTTGAGGGCACGCCTTAAAAGCTTTTCCCAACTTACGAGGAGCGTATTTTGAAGTCCGTCGGTGTGTATACCGGAGTAGGGATTAGCGCAAGTTGGCACAACTGAGTTTTATCAATTTAAATGCATGTAAAACTAGCGATCAAGAGAGATCCTCCACTGCTATCTCGGCAATGGTAGAAGGTTTTACTTAAGGGACTTTAACATTCAATTGTTAACTTCTAGCTACTAAGTGAATGTTTAACAACGCCTGTTACAACTTTACTGGAGTGTTAGGTATGTTTTCTTATCAAACTTTTTGATAATCGAGACATTTTTCCGTAAAAGGGCGTACGAGGCTTGCAATGCAGCCAGGTTTGCGCAATTTTTAAAGCATTTGCAGCAGTTAAAATTCAGCTTGAAAAATCAAGATGTTCATAGCAGAACTGTCGGATAAGTTCCTTACAACCAGAGAGCTACGTCTCACAATCTTAGCGGCATTGGATGTCTCATGCGCCTTTTTACCGAGAAATGCCTCTGATTTGTATTTTTTCCGGTGAATTTGATAATTTAATGGAATACTATCCCAGGGTGTCCACTGAAACAGGCTGGCCAAAAATCAGTACTTTTACAATACATTCCCAAGAAATTCAGTACATCCTCAACAGAGAAATTCAGTACTTTTTCAAAACCTTCAACTGACGAAATTCGAAAAATTTCAAAAATTTGAATTTCCGCTTAAATTGCGACAAAAATGAAAAAATTCGGGACTTTCTTGCAAAATTTCCGCACTTTTCCAATGCTTCCGGACCGCCCTTATAAATCAGTACTTTTTCTGGACTTCACGGAAATTCCGGACTTGTAGACACCCTGGAAAAATGCCTCAATTCCATTCGTATTTTTTCCAGGGAATTTGATAATTTAATGGCATATTATCCGTAACTTTTCTCAATGAATACTATTTTCTTGGAAGAAATTTGTCAACATCCGAGTGTCCATACGGCATTTTTCCTCGGTGCGACAGCCCTCATGGAGAGAAACTCAGCAACACCGAGCCGCTCCATTTTTAGAAACTGGGACGAGGGACATTTTACGACGTAAAGGTTTGTTTTGTGCCGTGATTAGCCTGACAAAAGCTAAAGGTGTTGAGGTTGCTCGCTTTGTCCGCCGGGTGCGTTAACGCCAAGGAAAACATCAGTTACACCGGAAAAGTTGATGTAAGCGCAGGCAGGGCCGTCGGCAAGTTCACACTAAATTAACACACGTGAATTTTGTTCGTGGCTCCCGATTTCGGGGAAATCGTTGATAAGGGAATTTTCGCATGGCTAAACTACACCTCTGACGTAAATGGAACTCTGCAATCCTCGCTTTTTGAAAAAGGGTGTCATGCACACTGTCTCTGCACAAATTAATCAAGCTTTACGGGGTGATTCAAAAGTCCCGCACCACCCTTATAACCCCTAAGGTCCTTGTTTCTTTTTAATAAAAAGAACATTGGGAAAAAAAACACATTGGATCTGGAGTCCAGACTCTTAAAAACATCGACAAGAAAAAGTACTCTTGATTCAATCAGAATCTAGCTAACATCAAGAACCAAGCCTTAATTTAAGCGGATTTCGTTTTGATTCAAGCAAAAATCCGATTTATTCAAGAGTATTTTTTCTTGTCAATGTTTTCAAGAGTCTAGACTCTAGATCCAATGTGTTTTTTTTTCCAGTGTCTCTTTCTTATAAAATGTTAGTGATTTCCAAAAGTCGTTTCCTTTGACTTAGGATGACTCACAAAATTTCAAGTCTCTACCAAGATTTGCTCAAAAGTTACAGGAAAGATGCCTGATGCCTGGTTTTGCGATACTTTTGGATCACCCAATAGTCCTTGTAGGGTGTGGATACTCGGTGAGACAAATTCCCCGAATTTCCTAAGTTTTCCCGACAAAAGTTTCCTCTCTTCTCACAACGAAGATATGCAAGTTTAAAATTGGAAATGAAAAAGTTATGGCAATATTTTCACGGTACGTAACAGAAAAATGTGAGCATTTTTCCTTCTAGCATAGATCATTCATTAACTTTTTTTTTGTGTGTGTGAAATTTCTATTCCTTTTCAAAGTATAACATAGATCATTGAACCCCGAACCAAATTGAAACTTAGCTGCGTTTAATGTGAACAGCGATTTTAAGATTTTTCAAAATTCCAATCTTTGTCATAAAAACTTCCAAATTTTCCCAGATTTCCCAAAGGATGCCTCGTTTTCCAGACCTGTAGATACACTGTGCGCGAGATGGATCCAACTTTTATACTCGGGCAGATGTCTACTCATTTAAGATGATCGAAAATTCGTCATTCCCCCGCGGAAAACGTTAACTACATTTCAACGTTGTCGAATTCCTCCTCGGAAACTGCATTTTTACACGGAAAATCTAGGGCCTTCTTAATTGAAATTTTCACTGGTTTTTCCTCTAAACCCACACAAAAATCGGACAAATTTTGAACCAAAGTTTCGCAGGTACATTATAGTGAAAAATTGAATTGTTTGAGTCAATTTCACAACCTTGGAAAGAAGTTACGTTCCTTCGTGCGGGAGACGGAAAATTTTCTCATGTTCACACTGTAGATATAAAAGTTTTCAGGGATCAAATTCCTTGGCATTCACTCGAATTTTTAAGATTTTAGTACAAAAAAGTTTTTCACTTGTCTCTCGTCTTTAAAAAACAATACGCTAGAACATTTTTGCTAAATTTCCAGGTTTGAATTTGATCAGTAAAGAAAGTATAAAATACTCACACATCCAAATGATTGCTATCGTCATCATTGACGGCTGCATTGCCTCGTTCCTCGGCCTCCTTCACGAGGTCGACCAATCCCCGCCGCTCCTTCGACCCACCAACTGTCGGTCGTTCACCTGAAACAAATCGAAAGCAATATTCAGTAAAACTCTCGATAGAATTTCGTAACGGAAAACACGGTGTTCCATTAAAATTGTGAAGTTCATTTCTGACAGATGGATGTAAGGATCACACTGAAAAATAATTTTTTTTTTTTTTTATATTATTTCGACTTACAGCGTCGTTTCTTTTTTCGAAGTTTGATTTTTTCGAGTTAAATTAACTTAAAGTCAGTTTTTATGAGTTTAAGAAACGTTGTTTCGCTATACTTTTCTCGACTAAAACTTAACGAGCAAAACGACGCTTTCTTGACTTAAAAGAACTGACTTTAAGTTGAATTCGCACGGATTTAACTTTTAAAAAAAACTAAATTTTATCGACAAGATACGAAGGTAAGCAAGGCTAGACATTTTTTCCAAACTCAACGAGACCATCTCTTTGGAGGAGCAAACGAAATATAACGATGAAATTGAACACAAACTGAGAGCGAGCAACGGTTATAAAATCATTTTAAAATTGACTTGATGTTGTCCGAGATAGATGAAGCGAATTACACTTAACAGTTAAAGCGTCAGGGTAATATTAACAGAGTAATGAGCATTTCATCTAAAGCAGCTTTCTTAACTAGACAATTTTGATTGCACGAAAACTTTAATGACATTCTAAACGGTTACGCTTGAAATAATAGAGAGTTTTAATTTCAAAGAAAAATACGATCAAAAGAAGAAACAAAATGCGCAGAAAGCAGGTGGAAGAGCGCAGTGCGCTCCACACCGTTCGATGAGGCCGAGCGCTCTGTGAGCAGCGAGCAGTAGAGAGAATGAGAAGCGAGGCTAAAACGCCTTCAAAAAGACGCGACGCAATTAGCCCGAAGACCGAGCTTGAATAATAGCATACCCAGTGCGCCGTTCATTTTTTATACGGTATTTGAGTAACGAGTGAAGTAGAAAGGCAGGTACGACCAGTCAAGGGTTGTTTAATAAAATGCTTCTGTTAATCATTGCCATTGTCATTTTTTCTTTTGTAAATTTTACTTTTCGCAGTGACAAATCGTTAAAATCTCCTGGAGGGATTCATTTTCTAAGCTTTGCTGTTGAATTATTCTGCTAATTCGTAAAACATGTTCTTCTAATAACGGTATGTTAAAAGCTTCTTTAAATCTCCAATAATCGCAACGTTAACAATAAAGGGCCTCCTGAGGATAGGGTCAGTATAAGAAATGACTGTTAAATTCGGCCTTCAAAACGTAAAATTTTACATTTCAACTTGCGTCAAAGAGAAAAAAAGAGTCTGCATCGAAGCAGGAAAGCGTGTGGTCAAACACCAAAGATCTTGATTTTTGAAGCTCCTATTTTCTTCCACTCGGGTCGATGCTTTCGACCGTTCCGTCGCTCTCGGGTCAAAAACATCTACCCGACTAGAAGAAAATAGAAACTTCAAAAATCAAGATCTTTGATGTATTTTGGAGTAAAAGGAACGTATTGTACATCAATAGAAACGCCAAATCCTCGAGAAATCAAATGTAAATACTTTGCAAAAAAATTGACCGAATTCGAACAAAATATATCGTTTTGATTTCCGAAGTTATTGTGCACATGAAATGAATAAGTGGTCGTCCGATGTCTTGTTGGCTGAGCAAAAAAAGCGCGAGAAGATCTTGTGGTCACGCACTACCCCTATTATTAAATGCAGACTCTTATTTTCTCTTCGCTTTGCGTCGAGAGTTCCCAGTGCGAAAACTTTGCGAGACGTCCGTCGCGTCGCGCAGGGCTCGGGAAAACTGCACTCCCCCTCTAAGCTCGTGATAAATTACAACTCCGTAAGTTAATGCCGGTCGCGTGTGCAGACAAAATCAGAGTTGTCAAATTGTCTTACAGAGGCAAAAGCGGCGTCGGAAAATTTCAATTATTTAGGGTTGAAAAAATACGATTAAGGACTGTTGCAGAAAAGGAGAATATTGTGAGAGTCTCACAGCCTGATTTGTTTTTTTCCTGATTTGTTCGTTTGATAAGTTTGAAACTTTTCACTCAAAAGGGAGGCAAATGAGAATATAAAATAGAAGGAATAAAAAATAAAAACACGAATCAATAGACGAGCAGTTTATATGAAAAATGAAGATCGCGCCGACATTGAGGTTTAAATAGTTGAAGGTACATCGATTTTGAAACTGAACGGAAAAATAATATCTCGATTGCAGAGTAGGATAATTTCGAAGGCGCCAAAAAAGCATTCTAGGTTGGCTTCCGCCATCTTGGATTTTTTATTTTGGAAATTTGAGTTAAAATTCAAGTTTCCCGTCAAGAAAATGTCATCAGGTACAAAGTTTAACAGAAATCAGTGGCGTGGCGTGCCTAGGGATACATCAATAATTGATCGGCCATTTAAAGCTATAGAAAAGGATCGATAGACAGGGTGTTTGCAGCGAACGCCTTAATAATCGATTCTTTACCACAGCTTCAATTAGGGAAATATCGATAGATCGCAAAGCACGCTACGTCACTGACAGAAATAGATCGAACAGGAGCCGCGTAACGCACGATCAGTAGATCTGTTAACAGTGGTAAACGATTCCAATCAATTTACAACCGTTCGTGCGCCTTCATTTCCGTTTGATACTGTGCAATACTTCCGAGGTAGAATAGTTGCTCAGAGCGCCTTGGACAGAGTAGCTTCAACTTGATGGCAAAATTGCCGCTGAAAGTACGCTGTAACGCGTGCGCAGTTACACTGTTACACATTGTCTCAGCACTGACGGTGAGGCATAAAACATTTATGACTAAGCGACGTTGCAATTTCTTCCTTGCCTACTTTATGAGGGTAAGCACTATTTGAGAAATTTAAAATCTGCCGTGATTTTACAAAGATATGACGGCCAATTCCGTCGTTTAGGATTTTAGAATTTTGAAAATTTGACTTTGACGTTGAGGAATGCCCCTGCGAGCTGATTGTTGACATTGATAGACGAAGCTAGAGACAAAGAAGATAAAAGGGAAATGGCTAGATCCTATTGATGAAAGCGAGAGGTTGCAATGGACAAAGAGGGAAGATGATAGACTCACTAACAGCAACCCACCCTGTAGTTGGTACATAATTTTCATCCTTAGTCTACAGAAACCATCCATTTCAACCAAAAGGGTTGCTCCATATTCTTATGTCTTCTTTGTCTATAGCTTTGTCTCTCAATTTCAGCTCATTGTCTATGGATTTGGTGAGAATATAAACTTTCTGTTCATTCTGTCCTGCTGACATCATGGAAACCAACCCTCTCCCCTCACGCTATAAAATACGAGAGCCGATCCAGAAATTGATTCCACACGTCTCAGCTCTCACTATAAAGGGACTCCAATAATTGCTACCGACGGCTTCAGTTGATCGATTGTCCAGTTTTATGACGTCACTGAAGCTCTACCAATCAGGCGCGCATGGCCGCGACAATGCGTCTGTTGAGTCAGTCGCACGTCTCCAACGTGTTCGTACGTTCGCGGCGTGAATGATAATAGAGCCATCGTTGCCAGATATTTCACAAAAATTAAAACATTTCCCCCGTCAAACCCCATGTAAAATATCAACGTTTTTTCGGACAGTCTGACAAAGTTGTAGAGTGCAATTGAGCCCGATTTACGAGTCACAGGGACAACCCGTCAACTACGGTTGCACTGCTTGATCCGAGTATTTTTAGAGCGAGTAATCGATGAGGTGCACTGCCGTGTTGAGGAAAAACGCCGTAAGAACATTCGAGAGTTGCCAAATTTCCTCCAGTAAAATGTCAATTTTTCAGGAGAGCTATAAATATTTTCCTTTGAAATTTTCAGATACTGTAGATTCAATTGTGATTGGAATCCTGTAAAAAATTGTAGGAAAATATCCACAAGTTTTCCAGGAATTTCGTATTATATCGGAGGAAATTTGGCAACGCGTGAAGGCTTATAGGGCGTTTTTCCTTAGCATGCAGTGCACCACTTGGGACAAAAATAGCCGACAGGATAACCGTCCCTTCGTAAGGGATGCGCGGAGGAGAGGTTCGACTAAATATTTTCCCCGACGGAGTTTTACGATATTAACCCTCCCACGATTATCGTGGTTTCGACCCATAAATAATAAATTGAACGTGAACGTAAAAAGTAAAACAACCGGTTATCCGCTGAGCGCTAAATCCGCGATAAAATCGCGAACTTGAAGGAAACACGTGACTTGTCAAAGGTATCCTTTAAGCTGGACCCCTGCTGGCGCTAGGAGGCTGAGAAGATTTGGAGATCTCTGTTGGTTTGAATTAAGACGGTTTTTATGACGCTGGTTCCTGGGAAGCTGGTCGTTTCATATTTTTCGGAGTTGTTGCTTGTGTAAGATCTTGCGCATTCGCGAAAGTGTGTATGAATATGTAGGAAATTTTAGACCATCGAAAGCGCTCTAGATGATGTTGGGTCGACGATAACGGGTTCATCATGATGCTCTGAGTCGAGAATTGGAAAAGAAGGAGGCACTAAAGCTTGCTTTAAAATTTTGTAAGGTCATGAGCATATTGAGATTTGTTTTTTCCGATCAAATTATGAAAATTACGGGGAAATAATTAGAATTCATTTTGGTGCGTATTTTTTTCTCTATTCAAACCTTAAAAAAATCTAAAATTGTCAAAGAACTAAGCAGATGACATTAAGTAGAAAAGATAATCAATAAACAGTTTCCGGTGAGAAAAGTCATTTTACGTTTATTCTGTTCACTTGTCAATTTCCAGCAACCATTATTCAAGGAAATTTTGTTATTGTGAAACAAATGTCACATGTATGTAGTCAAATAAAATTATAAAATTTTACTATTTTCATTGTTTTTTTCTTGCTCCTGACGCAGTTTGTTGAAGCATCTTTCCTCATTACTGAGCCGGTTCCTCAGGTTGGAAACTATAGAACGGGAAGTGTTATTTTATGACTATTTCGAGCCAAAACCAAATGGCATGTTATATGTAAGAACTTGTTTACTTGCAGGTATTTCTGAATGTCAACGAAAAAATATTATTCACCAG